GTGAGTGAGCCCCATTCAGTTTATGTGGGATCTGGAATAAAAACTCATGATGTTCCACACAGTTGGCCTCGAGCTACAAGTCTACAATCACTAGACGCTCACTGATCTTTAGAGCTCTATCCGCAAATATTTCATGATGTTCAACTTGGAGGGCCTTCGGCGTACTTCTCACTACACTCTACTGATGACTTGATGGTTTTCAGACCATTGTCCTGTTTTAGGTGTAGGAGTGATGTTTGCCTCTTGAATGTTCCAGTATCTTGTCCCACTGCATTGTTTCATGCCTCCGCCCCCCTTCTTTTCAAAAATATTCAGTACTTTTATTTCTCAACAGTAAACTGCTTTTACAATTTCATTTATTCCCTTGAACACATGGCTTGTTATTGAATTTAACCAGGCTTGTTTTTCATATTCAATTTCTAACTGTACACTAACGGTCCTTCATTTTTTAGCCAACAAAACATTTTTGCGAGTACAAGAAGTTGCCCTTTGAGCCATCCTCCAGAGACCTGGGCTTGTTTGACTGTTACACTATCACTCCTACTTCACACTGGAAGCATTGGCGGCACAGAAAGGCATCAGAACGTCACTGGTTCAAATAAAATCCATTAGAGTCTATGGGGGTGATTCAAAGCAGTCGTGATGCAGCAAATTTCAGACGCATCCCAGAAGTGTCCCACTACGCTGCGCCGCTAAAGATAAGATCGGGTTCTATTTTTGCAGTGAGCCACTTTTGGGACGCGACAATTCCTGCAGTTAACACAGGGCTAGACAGGAAATCAGACATGATTTCAGTGTAAATCCCCTGGTAGTTTTCAAAATAATAGTCTATCGCAGGGATTATCTATGTAGATGGCGTAAATACAAGTGACCTAACAGTTTGTTTACTCCCGGCATCGTTCTGGAAGTGCATATATGACATCAACCCACAACATCAAACGTGATTTCCTTCCTTTTGGTTCAGTGGCGAGTGGCATAAACTTTAGGGATTTTGTGATCTCACGAGTCGAGCGAGGAGCATAGCGGAGAAGTCACTTTGCCGCTGAGACTCTCCCGGTGTGTAATGGAGGTCAGCAATTGTTGCGAGTAAACCCCTCCGATGCCGCTCCGCGATGCTGATGCATTCAGTGTGCAGTAGGGGTTAAAGGCATGAATAGATGGGTTGAGTTGCCAGGTTTTCCTTCTTCTTTCTAGCGTACTATCTATTTGGTCATCAACGCGCATGTTCTCTTGAATCATGTTTGGTTCAACTTCCAGGATAACATTTCACAAATGTCCTGTTTGATGTTTGCCTTCAACATTTGCTGGCTTTTATTTTTCTCAGAGGTTTTGTGTGTTTATCAAGTGTCTTTGGTTTTCCAGTTTTTAGCTTGAGTTGTGTCTTTCTCCTGTCCACTGGCTTCACTTACATTAATCAGAGACTGAACGTCAACGTTAAAACACTTTTGTGTCTCAAAGCAAACCAGCCACTTGGACGAACCCTGAAGTGTTTAAAGAGCTTCATTAGTTTAGTTTGTATATCCTGTTCTTGTCTTTAAATATGATTGTTTTCAATGACACCTAGATGGCATAGCATGGAAGAACTTCATTTGATTTATGAGAAGTGTTATGATCCATGCATGGACCTCTGAGACAGCACTCCTTCTGCTCTCCACACTTCCAGCACCATGGACAGCTCCCGGGTCAAATGAGTGTGGTTGTCCTGTTCTACGGATTTCACAACCATGAATAGATAGTTCCTGAGCCCGCGTTTAGTACCATGGACAGTTCTTGAGCCCAAGGAAAGTAATTCTCCTGCTCTATGGGTTTCAGCACCATGGACAGAGCCCTACAGCACTCTACTCGTCATGCAAGTTTTAGTCCTTGACCACCACCGTTTTTGGGGATGAGGACTAGCATTGCAACTTTTCTCCAGGTCTTCAGCTACAGTGTAGGTATGTGAATGACACGTTGCCATTATTCTCCCATTAATAAACAGGCTACAAAAGGGAAATAATGCCAAGCATTTTCCAGCACTTTAATATGAGTTTTGAAAATAGGCCATCACTGCAACTTCCCTGAAAAGTTGGATGATGTTTGTCTTTCACTAAAAAAACGTTGGTGGTCCAAGACCAATACAGTGGCAACAACTTAGGCAAATAATGAAATCTGCTTATTGGTCCTTTCCTTTAACTTCATTAAAGCAATTAGAATTATTCTAAAACCTGGTAAATGTTTGAAATATTTACTAATTTATAAGAAATGGGTCTAAACTCTTGACTATTTGCAATGAGTCTAATAAAAAGGAAGTTGTACATTGAACACATGTTATTAAAGTGATGCTGACCCAAGCCTGCATGGTTGTTTCACCTAAGTTATGAGCAACCATGTCAACAGCTTAGATTGTGGTCAGAAACAGAAAACTGTCAGCAAGGTAAAGAGAAACCTTTCCTGTGTTAAAAAAACAAAACAAAAATGGAATTTGAAGCCAAACACAGATAGAACGTACCAAAGATGTTTA